ATATAAAGAAGTCCTACAACTCAACGGCAAAAACTCCACCCGATTAAAAAATGAGCAAAGAGGGGCGCCTGGGTGGCTCAGTCACTTAAGCATCTGACTTTGGCTCGGGTCACGATCTCCCGGTTCATGAGTTCAAGCCCCGCGTCCAGGTCTGTGCTGACAACTCGGAGCCTGGAGCCTGCTTCAGATTCTGTGTCTCCCTCTCTCTGCTCCTCCCCCACTCATGCTCTGTCTCTCTCCATCTCTCAAAAAATGAATAACATTAAGAACAATTTTTAAAAAGACATGAACAAAGGACTTGGATGGACATTTCTCGAAGGAAGACATACAAATAGCCAACAGGCTCAGTAGAAGATTCTCATCAACAATCACCAACGAAATGTCAATCGACACCCCATGAGACACCCCACATCCATCGGGATGGCTACTATGAAAAAAAACCCAGAAAATAACAAGTGCTGGTGAAGATGTGGAGAAATTAGTCCTGCCCATCGCTGGCAGGATTGCCAAATGCTACAAGTGTTATGGAAAATGGTACGGAAGTTCCCCAAAAAATTACACACAGAATTTCCTCAGGACACAGCAGTTCCACAGCTGGGTATGCACTGAAAGCAGGGTCTGGAAGATATATGTGTGTATCCACGTTCCTGGAGGTACTATTCGCAAGAGCTAAACCCAAGAAGCAAGCCAGGGTCCACCGACAGAAAAACGGAAGGACTCAGTGTGGTATATCACTGCTCAGCCTTTAAAAAGGAAGGAAATTCTGACACCTGCTAAAATATGGACGTGCCTCAAGGACATTTATGTTAAGTGACAGGAGCCAGGCACAGATTCTATATGATTCCACTTACACGAAGTATCCGAAGTGGTCACATTCACAGGGACTGGAAGAAGAAAGCTGGTTGCCAGGGACTGGGGTGGCGGAAAGGGGGAGGTGTTTAATGGGTACTGAGCTTCAGATCTGCAAGAAAGTTCTGGAGAGGTGCTGCACAACAGCACAAATATATTTAATGCTACTGAATGGTAGGCTTAAAAGTCCTTAAAACTGGTAACTTTCAGGTTGTGGGGTTTTTTCCACAATTAAAAAAAAGGAAAGAAAGCAAGAGAGAGGGGGAAAGGAAAGGAAAGGAAAGAAAAGGGAGGAAGAAAGAAAGAGGAAAAGGAAGCCAGTGAGGAACACAGACACACACACACACACACACACACACACACACACACACACTCAGAGAACTTGGCTAACAGTTCCTCTACCTGCCCAGGTGTGCTGTGGGATCGCACCCTCCCCCGATACAGCCCGGGGGCCCCCCCCCCCAAGACCCCCTTCCACAACAATGCGCCTCGATGACCTAGAACTGGGGACAGGAAGGGGAGGAACAGGTCTGGTCTCTACCCCATGGCTCAGCACCTGATATCCAGCAGATGTTGGCTAATTATTTGCTCAACAAACTGTATAAAATCCACACGGTGAGGTCAAGCTGGTACAATTCTACCCATTTTACAGACAGGTTAAGGAGGCTCAGTGAAGCAAGGTGACCTTTCCAAAACCACAAAGACAGCAAGCAGTAAAAGAAGTGGCCCCGATATCCCAGACTCCTGCTATAGGGCCCCTTCCGTCACGTCACCTCCCTTCAAAGTCAACCTGGCATCCATTTCAACAGGACATTCCCAAGTGATTCCTGCCCTGTACCAGTGACCCTTAACTTCTTTGGATCATGGGCTCATTTGGCAATCTAATAAAAGTCTCAATCCTTTTCCTAAAGCAACACACAGGAAACTTAGACACTAGTTTTCAGAGGGTTTCTGGAACCCGTGAAACCCCTCCACTGACCACGTTTAGAACCCCCTTTCCGCCCTGCTATCCAGGAGCTCATTTATCCTTAAGAATTTCCAGCCATCTCCATATTCTTGATCATCAGAGTCAAGGAGAAATGCTATTTTAAATTCGCGTTCCCAGGCCCGTGCTCTGTGGATCTGGTTAAGTACGTGCAGAGCTGGGCCCAGAAACCTGCATGAGGCACACCAGAGGATTCTGGGATTGGCGGCTCTGAGACACATTTGGGTTCGTGAGCTGTGGCCCCCCTGACCTCTGAATGCTGCCCAGATGATCCCTCCAGCTCCCAGCCTCTCTCTCCCCAGCTGCCCACGAGACCCGGCTAGTAGACATTCCAGTACAATCCAACAAGGACTTCCTGAACCCAACATCCGTGACCCCAGAAGTGTTCCTTTGCAGGTATCACTAGGCCAGAAACCCGGGCGTCGCCCTTTACTGTCCCTGTCCCCACCCTACATCTTGACCATCACCAAGGATGGCTGATTCTACTGCCTATGTGCCTCTGGGCACCCCTACTGCCCTCCATCACCCCTGCCAGTACCGCGGTCCAAGCTTCTGCTCCCTGTCTCCACCTTCCTCTACCGTCCATCCTCCGTCCTGCAACTCCGATCCTGTCACCGCCCAGAGCAAAACTCTACAGTGGTGACCAAACTCTGGAACTGCACTGTCCAATATGGTAGCTGCATGTGGTTACAGAAATTTAAACACAATTAGGGGCGCCTGGCTGGCTCAGTTGGTGGAGCATGGAATTCTTGATCTCAGGGTTGTGAGTTCGAGCCCCATGTTGGGTGTAGAGATTACTTAAAACGATACAATCTTTACGGGCACCGGGCCAGCTCAGTGGGTGGAGTGTGACTCTTGATTTCGATTCAGGTCACGATCTCACGGCTTGTGAGTTCCAGCCCCATGTGACGCTCTGCGCTGGTGGTGCCGATCCTGCTTGGGATTCTCTCTGCCTCCCTCTCTCTCTACCTGTGCTCACGCTCTCTCTCAAAATAAATTAATAAACAATAAAATAAGATAATAAAATCTTTAAAAAATAAAGTAAAATAAACAAAGTAAGATCAAATGTCCAAAGTTCCGCCCAAAGTTCACACTAGCCACATACCAAATGGTCAAGAGCCACAGGGTGGCTGGTGGCTACCATATTGGACAGCACAGACATAGCACATTCCCGTCCCCAGAGAAAGTTCTAGTGGACAGCAGAGCTCTACAACTGTGCTTACGAGCCCTTTGGGGTCTGGCCGCATCCTCTGCTCAGACCCCTCCCGGCGTCCTTGGTCTTGAGTCACAGTGAACCGCTGTCAACTCCTGAAACTCATGGTCTCACCTCCAAACCAGGGCGTGTCATACCCTTCCTGCCTTCCCTGCTTGGCTAACTCCTCCCCACCCTTCAGGTCTCAGCTGCCGCCGCTCCCCTAACCAGGACAATTGCTCAAGCTCTTGCCCACCACGGCATTTAAACACTGAGACACAACAGCCACGGGAACACCTACGCCCATTACCCCCTCACCAGCAATTGTCAGCTAGGGGCAAGTCTGCCCCCAGGGGGACACCTGGCAGTGTCTAGATTCATTACTGGGAAGATAATACTGGCATCCGGTGGGTAGAGGCCAGGAACACCGCTAGTATCCTACAATGCACAGGACAACCCCTACAACAAAGAATCATCCAGCCCCAGATGTCGGCCATGTTGGGGTTGACCATCCCTGCTCCAGACTGGACAACTCCGTAAAGGAAGGGAGTGCGTCCTGTATGCTATGTAGTCCCGGCCACCAGCCCAGAGTTGGCCATATAATGAGTACGGATGCTCTATGAGATTTTCTCCCAGGATTCCGGTTCCCTTACAGTGTCTTTCCTGAAAGACAATTAGTCACGGGTCATTATGGCAGGCTGAAGAATGCTCCTCCCCAAATATCCAGGTCCTAATCCCTGGAACCTGTGGATGTCGCTTGACGTGGCAAAAGGGACTCTGCTTGTGCGATTAAGTGAAGGATCTGGAGATGGAGGGCTTATCCTCGATAATCCGGACGGGCCCCAAATGCATTCACAAGCAACCCTAGCGGAGGAAGACAGGGACGTGTGACCCAGAAAAGGCAGCGTGAAATGGAGCGGAGAGAGATTCAGAGATGCTACAGCGCTGGCCTCGCACCCACCGGAAGCTGCAAAAGGCAAGGGCCAGATTTTCCCCGACAGCCTCCGGCGGGGTATGGTCCTGCCGACGCCTTTTTTTGGCCTAGCGACACTGATTTTGGACCTCCGGCCTACAGAAGCGTGAGAGAATAAATTTCTGCTGTTTTTAAGTCAACAAGTTTATAGTAATTTGTCGTAGCAGCCCAGTGCAGTCATATTCCAATTTGGGCTTCAGTGGATTCGGATCGAGAACTGAAAAGGAACGGCAGGTAGGCACCAGGCCCCCACCCCGCTGACTCGGAGGGCTGGAAGGAGAGATGGGAGTAAGGGTGGCTGAGCCATGGGCGTTTCTAGATGTGGCAGCTGCCCGGGTCATCGGCAACCATGTCTGTGGGTCATTCCTCACACCCTAGTCCTGCCACCTTCTGGGAAGATCTCTGGTAGGCAAGTGACTCAACCCAGGATACTATGTTAGTCTGCCTGGTGCTGACGCAGGGGTAAGAATAAAAAGTTAAGCCCCTGTCCTGCTCTCCAACCTCCTGCCAACCCCTCTCCATTCCCCACCACCCCCAGACACAGGGGCCTTTCTCCAACCTTCCAACACAGCCCCAGGGCCTTTGCACCTGCTGTTCTTCTGCTTGGAACAGTCTTCCTCCAGAGTCTCCCATGGCTGGCTTCTCAGCATTCAGGTCACAGTTCAAATGCCACCTCCCCAGAGAGGCCCTTCCTGACTGCACGGCCTTCCCTCATCACCTGTTGAGTTTCTTCCCAAATCTTCTCATACTCTGTCATTATCTCATGACCATCTTTATATGCCTGTTCACTGTTACTCCCCCAGCACCCCAGACTTCGGGCCCCAGGAGGGTAGGGACATTGTCTGATCTGCCCAGGGTATGTCCCTAGTCCTATGCCTGGCACACACTAGGTGCTCAACACATTCTGAATGAAGGAATGAATGAATGGGTGTGTGAATCAATGTAATTAAGCGAATTTGCAGCTTTGGGTGATGCTTGCCAAAGCCGGGTCCCTGACATACCTAATCTTGGCTTTCCGAAAGGCCAGCTCCTCTTCGTTGCCAAAGTCCAGGGACACGTCCTCAGTATCGTCCACCAGGGCCTGGGGGACACCAAACAGAGGTGGCAGGCAGGCAGGCGGTGCACATCCCCACCCCACCCCCTCGCTGGCAGGGCCCCTCCCCCGCGGCTGCAATCCCAGGCCTTCCACCCTCCTGGGTCCAGGAGGACCACTTGGGGTCCCGCCCAGGACCAGGCCCAGGCCCCGGCCTGCGCATCCCTCCTCCTGGCTTCCCCCAGCGCTCCCGCAGGCTCCGCCTGTCATCTCCCTCACCCTCCTGCCCCCGGCCTCCCCGCGGCCCTACCTGCTTCATCCTCTCCCCAGAGCCCACCTGGAGCCCACAGCCCAGGCTCAAGGACTCCGCCTCTCGCTGCCTTGGGCCCGGTGGGGAGCGGCGGGGGGAGCTTACGCTCCTTGGTGCTGCCTCGGTGCAGGTCGCGGGTGGAGGCGGGGCGCGCAGGGCCCAGAGCGCAGTCGCGGGCTGGGGGAGGTGGGCTCGGCCGACCGGGCGGGGGCGAGGCTGGCGAGGGTCCGGGGGCGGGGCTGGCGAGGGTCCGGGGGCGGGGCGGGGGTCCGGGGGCGGGGCTCACTGCGGACGGCGCCTAGGAAAGAAAGAGCTGTCGCCCAGAGTGGAGGGATGGAGGACCGAGCAGCCGCCTGGAGGGGACGATTCGGGCTCAGAGGCGCATTTGGGGACCACGAACTGATTCTGGGAGGCACAGAGCGGGTGGGCCAGTGAATGAGGCGGAGGTCCCATAACTGTCGTATGGGCTAGCGAACTAGCGAATCGTGAACGAATGCCAGTGATGGGCAGCCTCATTCGGCGTCTGGAGAAGGCCAATGTTTCCCAAACGTCTCTAATCCCAAGAATTCTGCGCCCCGCCCCCCGGGCCCTTATGAAAAGCAGATTTCCAGGCCCAGCCCTGGAGATTGGGAAGGCCTGGCATGCAGACCCTGGAACCTGTCTTTCAACAGGTGAATCTGCTGCAACCAACAACCACTGTTGCACACAGTGAGATCTTCACTCATCCGGGGGCCAGACACACTGAGCACAAAATAAGTATCATTAGCAGTGATGGTAGTGATTCGGGATGTTAAGGCCTCCTCAGGTATCTCCCAGGAAGGAAGGCTGGCCGCCTGAAAGTCTTTCCTGGCCCAGGACAAGGACCCTCCCCCTCTCCTGACTCCACTAGTCCCCAGCTGCCTGGGGTGGGACCCTCAAGGGAGGGCAGGTGGAGGTGAGAAGCCGTTGCAAAACATTTAGGGGCTTTTCCTCCGACTCTGAGAGTCACCAGCTGTTGCTATCTGTTAAGTTGGGGCTCAGAGAGTCCCCACGGGGGTGAGAAGGTAGGAAACCCCCCTTGGAAATCCCATTTGGGGACAAACTGTCATTCTTGGCGGTCTGGTTGGGGGGTGCCTTGAGAAATAGCTGTGCCTCTGCCACGTGGAAGTCACCCCACAAATACAAGGTCGTGCCACTCTGCCCCTTCCTGACCTGTCCGCATCGGGGCACGGGCTGAGGGTGCAGATACCAGGGCCAGACCTGGGGGCTCAGCATTTGATCCCCAGGAAGAAACGCTCTCCCAGCTGGCCCTCGGCAGGGTCAGCCAGTAGAATTTGAGGGGTAGGCAGGGAACACCTGCGTTCTGCAGGGAATTAAGTCATCATTGACTTTGAAATCAGCTGCAATGGATTTACCTGGGTCTCCTGGTTCAAAGGCAGATTCCCGGGCCCCACTCCAGGCCTTCTGAATCTCCAGGGCCAGGGCCTGGGCATCTGCCTTTAGTATGAGCTCTCAGAATCTCTGAGGGCAGAGACTTTGGCGAAACACTGACCTTCTCCCTTCGCACTGTTACCGCTGAATATGGCCCCTGGGATCCTGACAATTGTCACCTTCTGCTGGTCCAGGCTCAGGAGGGCGTGGAGTGCAGTTTCGAAGAGCGGCCTCGTCTCTGATCCCTGGCCCTGGGGCCAGACCAACCTCAAGGAAAGAGCCTCCGGGCTCAGGCGCCCACTGGCCTCTGAATGGTCCTTGGAGGTCAACACCTGGAGTTGGGCAGGCCAGACTGGGAACACAGCTCCACCATTTCCTGTCTGGATGGTCTCGGGCAGGGGACTTCACCTCTCTGGCCTCAGTCTCCACACCTGTAGAATGGGGCCACACCTTCCCTCTGCCCCGTCATCACAGATGACGCAAGACCTGCAGAAAGCACATGGAGAATGCCCTCCTCAGAGCTGGGGCTCAGGAAACAGCGGCTCTGGTGACGGCCACTCGTGGTCATCAGCAGAGGGGCCTGGGGCAGCACATAGGAAGTGAGCCCCGTATCAGAATCACTCCTTCCACTGAGACACGTCTGTCTTAATGGGAGTACAGGAACTGCACACCCAGCTTGGTGGCCCTTTCCCAAACACCTACTGTGGGCCCCGGGGCAAATGGCCCCGGGGACAGAGGACTGAGCACCGTCCTCTCCCCCAGATGGGCCCCCAGGAGCCCTGGCTCAGAAAGCAGCAGCTTGGGTGTGAACTGACATGACTTAACTCCGGAGCCTAGAGCCCAACCAGGGAGGTGGGTGCGGTGGGGGGGGCGGGGAGGGGGGTCAGCCTGGCTGGAATGTTCTGATCCTTACCCCGCGGGAGACAGACAGCTGGCACAGAGGCTTGGTGGGGGTCACACCTGGGGCTGGAAAAGCCTGTCCCCCACATCGGGCAGGGCGAAAGCTGCAGCCTCCAGGCCTGTCATCCCTAGGCCTGCATTGCCGTGGGTGGTACTCGTTAAGACCCACCCTGACAGTGGCCCTGTCATTCCTCCTCAGTAGGGCTGAGGATCTCCCAAGTAAAAAAAAGGGAGCCCGTGGGATGCCCGTGTGGGTCAGCTGGCTGGGCGTCCGACTCTTGATCTCAGCCCAGGTCCTGATCTCAGGGTTTCGGCTTCGAGCTCCATATCGGGATCCACGCTGTGTGAAGCTACTTAAAAATACTAATAATAAGGGAGCTCAGTGAAATGGAACTTGAGGACAACAACAAACCACTTTTTAACATTTTTAATGTGTACTTACTTTTGAGAGAGAGAGAGAGAGCACGAGCTCGAGTGGGGAGGGGCAGAGAGACACCGAGAGGGAGACACAGAACTTCACATTTTCAGCTCACGAGCATCAGCATGTGTGGCGAACAAGTGCTGATGCCGAGGAAAGAGCAGGTGCAAAGGCCCTAAGCAGGGAAGGACCCGGCCATGTCCTAGCATTGGGTGCAAACTGGCCAGCCGGCGGAGGGTAGCCCGTCCTGTCCCGCATGGCTTTGTGGGCCAGGATGGGAGTTTGGCGGCCACCTGATGGGAGGGCACAGGTGTAAGCCACCTGGCTGAGGACAGAGGCCCCACTGTCCTGCCCTGACCTCCACGCAGGGCCAAGCATGGCCCCAACCTCAGTGGGAGGGCCGCACGAAATCCACGCTCCATGGAAAGAAGGCCTGCGAGGGTCTGGTTTGTTGGGGACCTCCTGGTGTCCAACCACCGACTCCATTCACTCAGCAAATGCTTTACAGATACGGCCTAGCCCTTGCTGTTCACCTGGCTCCCTGTCGTCTACCAACTGGCCAGCCACCCCTGGGGGTGGAGTGGGGTGCCCCGCTCGGGCTGCCAGCCAGACTGGGAATGTGGGATCTTCCACCCCAGGGATACGACAGAACTCAGACCGTGAGAAGATGCAAAGGCAGAGGGCGTGGGTCCTTCCACGAACCCATCGCAAGAAAAGAGCTGGGGAGAAGAACCTTCTGGTTTAAAGACCTTTACCCATGTGTTAATCACACACAACGTGTGAACCTTGTTAGGATGTGATTCAAACAACGATGGGAAATAAAGATACTTATGGGCCAGTCAGGGAATGAGTCCTAGAAGGGGTGCTGGGCAAGATCCCTAACACTAAGGATGACGATTTATTTTTTTCTTTTAAGGCATAATGACGACGTGGTGGTTTTTAAAAGCTGAGATAGAATTCGCATGCCATAAAATGTGACGCTTTTAAAGTATAACGTGTGGCGGGTTTTAGTAGACTCACAACGTGGTGTAACTATCACCACCATCTCGTTCCAGAACATTCTCATGACCCCGAGAGGAAATTCGATACTAAATACTAGTCACCGCCCGGCCCCTGCCAACCAATCATCTGCTTTCTGTCTCTCTGTCGACTCATCTCTTCTGGATCCCTCATAGAGATGCAATCCTACACCATGTGGCTTTTTGCTTCTGGCTTCTTTGCCTCAGCATCATGTTCACGGCGTTCATCCATCTCGTAGCAGGTGTCAGGGGTTCGCTCCTTTTTGGCTGTACGACTCCTTGTACGGATAGAGGGCGCTTTGTTTATGCCTTCATCCAACAGTGGACATCTGGCTACCTTTTGGTGACGAGGAATCATGCTAGGAACATTCCCGCCCATGGCTGTGGCTGAATGTACCTCCGGTCCCCCCGGGGCACTCATCTATGAGTGGAATTGTCCGCAGCTTTGTTTATCAAGATATGTTTAGAGCTACATGCCCACATGTTAAGGTGAAATGATAAGACACTGGGGCTCCCTTCAATATCATAAGGAAGGGGGTAGTACGGCGTGTGTCAATGTACAAAGATAGGCTGGATGCGGGGCGCCTGGGTGGCTCAGTCAGTTGAGCATCCGACTTCAGCTCAGGTCATGATCCCGCAGTTTGTGAGTTCGAGCCCCACATCGGGCTCACTGCTGTCGGCTCAGAGCCTGGAGCCTGCTCTGGATTCTGCGTCTCCCTCTCTCTCTGCCCCTCCCCCGCTTGTGCTCTCCCCTAAATAAATAAATAAATAAATATTAAAAAATTTTTAAAGTAAAAAGAAACAGGGGAAATTGGTTTTAATTGTCCCTTTCTTGAACCCGTTATAGCCAAAACATGATCATCTTTTTTTTTAAGTTTACTTATTTATTTTGAGAGAGAGAATGTGTGCACTCGAGCTGGGGAGGAGCAGAGAGAGAGAGAGAGAGAGAGAGAGAGAATCCCAAGCAGGCTCCGCACTGTCATTGCAGAGCCCGACATGGGGCTCGATCTCACGAACTGAGAGATCACGACCTGAGCCGAAATCAAGAGTTGGATGCTTAACTGACGGAGCCACCCAGGCGTCCCCGAAAAGTGATCCTCTTAACATGTAATCTATTAAATTATGAAACATATTTTGCTTGTTCTTTTTCCACAAACAGAATGCCTGGCGAGGCAGGCACCCGTGTGTCCCTCTAGGTGCTGCGCCCACGTGCCTAGACCCGTGCATGGCCTAGAGCAGCTGAGCAAGAGAGTGAGCGAGTGGGTGAAGGGCCCCAGGAGGGTCCAGGGAAGCGATGATCTCTCCATCTCACAGAGGCCCGGGCACAGCTGAGCTCTGTCTGGGGAGAGATCCAGGGCTCACCCTGGGCACCACCTGCCCCCGACAAGGTGGACA